GCCTGACTTTCTTCCGCGGTTTCACCCCGAAGAGGTAGACGAGGAAAAAGTAAGGGGTGCTGCCGCGTCGGTCGCGCTAACTCACCCCTAGTAACGGGGGCGAGTCGACGACCTCGTCTCTCCACTTACTAGAAACGGGGAATCCGCGGAAATTTTCTTATTTTGGTATTTTATCCTATACCTGTCGAGATGATCGGTTGAAAGAAAAATTGTCAAGTCCAGTGTTTTGCTAATAATTTCTCGAAAGGATAATAAAATAGAGGTTAGGGGGTGAATTTTCGGAGCGACCCCAAAAGAGCCCTCCAGGGACGCTGGGATTTTTTCTTCGAGATCCTTCCACCCCTTCGGAAGTTGAAGAGGAAGTAGAAGGGAGTCCTCGAGGAAGGGCCCGGCGTCGCGGCGAGGTCGGCAAAAAGCTCGGCTGCCAACTTGAAAAATATTACGCGCCGGGTGGTGCGACGATTTGTCAGGAGTGACAAGAGCGAGAGAGAGGGCCAGTTAAAGTTTCGCGCTTCGTGGGAAACCTCGCAAGAGAGGGCCGAAGCTGGAAGAAAAGAAGAGCGATCAAGGAGGACTCGATACGCCCGTCGGGAATCGAATCGCGCTTCTTTTTCCTCCTCCGAAAACGCATCCGATGCGACCCCGGTCGATCGGCGAGCTTTTTAACCCCAACTTTGGGGAGAAAATTATTCTACCTCCTTAAAAAGCCACGGGTTAAATTACGAGCTTAATCGAGATCCCCTAGACCTCGAGTCTCCGATTTTCAAAAAATTCCCCCTCGCCGCAAGAGCCTCAAGGGAAATCCGCGATTTTTCCTCCGCGCGGAAACGCGAAGGGTCACGTCGGGTTTCATTCCACGAAGGGCCCGCTCAAAAGCGCGGTTGAAAGGGGTTGCCGTACCATCGGAGGGTGAGGGCCGACGAGACGCGGAAATAACGCAGCGAGACGGGATACAGGGAATTATTTAGCCCGGGGATTATTTATTGTCGAGGATTACGCCCGGTTAACCGATTTTCATGAAAATTTCAGTCGCTCCCAGGATTCCACCCTCGCCCCCGGAATTCCCGCGCAGCTTCCCTCCACCGTGTCCAATCTCCATCCTGCGCACATCTAACGTACGGCTCGCGTCTCGAAAAACGCGCGGCTTCTATCGGATTTTAATAACGCAAGTTTAACATCCGCCAAGAAAGCAACAAAGCTGAGATATCTAACACTCCCCCAACGTTACCCCACGGCAAGCCGGGAGCGAAATGGTCCGCCATCTTGGTTTCATATTTCGAATTTCCAACCCCCTGACCGCATAAATGCGTAGATAATTCCGGTATTTCGCGATGAATCTCCAGCTCCGAATTTACGAAATCATATCATTTGTAAGCAGTAATTAGTCGGCGATAGCTCCGACGTACCTGTTCCACTGGACGAGGGGAGAAGCAGGGAGAGGGAGCACGACGTTATCATCCAGGCCGTGATTAGTGTCCACGATAAGTGGAGACACATTCGACCGACATCGCGCCATGCTCTGGTTTAATTTAGTACCGTCCATAAAGTACACGGGAAGACACCTTTCGGGCGATTCGCCATCTTGTAATTCCTGCGATAACGCGCCATGGCGGGTTATCGTTAAACGAGCCTTTGTAACCGACCGCTGGATGGATTCTTTGAGACTCTTCCACCGTCGTCCTCGTAAAGGACTCGGAATCGCGAAAGTCGAGGCGGGGGTGGGCGCGATACGCGCCCGATAAAAATGGAGAGCCCAGGAAATTGATAACGATTCCGGGGATGACCCGGGAAAAAGACTCGGGAGTTCCCGGGTCGTTAATAACGTATTTTGCGAGGGGGGTGCGCTTTCGGGAGCGTCGATCCGGCCAGTTGTAGAACGAGCCTTTAACGGGCGGGATTTCAGCGGAAGCAGCGGCGGCCAAGGCTTTATCCTTCCTGAATAAAACATTATGAAAATGATTGCCGGGGACTTCTGTCGCAACGCCGGCGAATCGATCCGCAGGAAGGAGGGGAAGGGAAGAAGCCGAGGCCCGGCGAAACGGAAAGGGGAATAAACGGCCGATCCGCGCCGGATTACGCGGACTCCCGATCGCGAGACGGAGTCCGACCGAGCGCGTCGACTGTCGCACGGCGCGCGGCGCGTTCGAAGCGACCGCTATATCGAAACAAACTTTCGAGACGATTATCCGACCCCGCGATTATTATCGCAATATCCCCAGAATCCTCCTCCCGGAGACCGTAATCGGAGCCGCGCTCCGTCACGTCCGGATAAATATAACCCGTTCCCTGTACCGCGGTGACATCACCTTATCGGCGCGCGCTATCACCGACACGTGCGAGGGCACTCCTCTGAAAGGCGCCTTTCTTTCGAACATCGCCGCGTCTATCCTCGATAATCCGCCCCCGAATCCGCGGAGTCTGGAAACTAAACGCGGATAAAAAAAGAGGTCTCTCCCCCCCGTCCACCTGGGGAAGAATTCAAAAGTCGGGGAAAAAATCCTAAGATTGAAAAAAAAAATAAGGAGCTCGCCCCAGTGCTCCGTTCCCATTTTTCACCGGACTTTTCATCCCTCGATTGAACGACGACTTGGGTGTTATAATAAATCGCGGGAAAAAGGGTCTAACGAGGGACGTCGACTCTTGCCTCGGCCGCCGCGAGATGAATATCCGCGGGCGCGATTTTCGTAAATAGTACGCGGCACGGTCTGGCCTTCGTTAAATTGTCGCTGAATCAGGAGCGGAAAGCCGTAATTCCCGGGATGTAGTCGGCGAACCGGGTCAGGCGCATAGTCTCGCGAGGAATTCCGGTATTACGGATGCTGTAATCCCGCTCTAATGACATACTGTTTTTAGCGCGACGCCCCGACGCCCCGACGCCCCGCGGGGGTGCGGCCTGTCAAACGCGCGTGCCGGCGATCACGGGCCGAAATCCTCGGAATTCGGCGCCGACTACGTGTCGCGGGGAAAATTAATCAACGATCGCGATCGACCGGAATACCGCCTCTCCGGTCGCCGGCGGAGAGATTCCCGCGGGGAACCACGGCCGTGCGTTATCAGCCGCGGAGAGGGGGCGTCCACGGGGGGGTCGAAATCGAGGTACTCCAGACATCGGGACGAGGAGCGACGATTTTACCCCGTTCTACCCATCTCGCTCGAGGAGCTCGAATCCCGGAGAGTGTCGTCGCAATTTCCGCATTCCGCGTCCGAGCCGACGCCGATCCGCGTGCCGGCGCTGATTGCGCCCCGCGAGATCCACCGGACGGCTCTCCTGCGCTCGTTAAATCGCGAATTAACGGAAACCCCGGGCTGATATACCGCGGATAAATATTTCGTTATCGCGTTGACGCGTCCCGCAACGAGAATTTCGGAGCGCGGCTCGTTTCGGGCGTAAATCTCGGCCTTTTAACGGGGGGATTGCGATCTCGGGGGCGCTGGATCGTCTAACTAAATTTACCTGACGGATTAGTTAATTACCGCGGCCCAATCGGAGCAAGCAGTTATCGGAAATAGATAGCCATTAAAGGCAATTGACTACCTTCCGGTAACCTTATCCGAGGTGGACTCGCTCTAAAACCGGGAGATCCGACCTGTGGATTAGCTCGCCCCTTGGATTTATTTCATCCAGGGCCAGGCACCTTAAAACCTGGCGATCCCCGAAGAGAGGTCCTCGTTGATTATTTAATTATTAAAAATCGAATCCGGCCAATCTCGACCGGGGGAGAATCCAGGCTCGACTTCCGGGCTAACCGGAGCTCGACTCTCGTCGTCGGACTTTAATCGTTTCTCCTCGGGCTTCCAATAATTCATGAGCCTCCCCTCGTAGCTTGTCAACGATTACGATTATTGACTTTCAGAAGTGACGGTCGTTATTGCGCATTAAATGCAGAGAAGCGACGCCGTCCGTTCAATTGGTCGGATCGCGTTTCTTTCCCGGCGCCGCGCTCCGTTCTTGATAATACACCCGGGCTTCCCGGGATTAATCTCGTCCGCCTTAAAAACCGGGACCACGGGACTGGATTTCATTGTCTCGGGCAATAAATCCTCCGCATTTATTTCAGTGGCTGCACCCTCGCCTCCGGGAAACGCACGAGGGTCGAAGGAGGCAATGAAATCTAACGCCGCGTCGTTACCTCGACAAGATGGCTCGCGAACCACGAGCCAACGCGTTCCTTATTCACCGGGGAAAAATACAGAGGCGGTATATTCCCTTTTTTTTTAACCCAAAAAGGCTGGGAAGTATCCAAATAACCTCCCGGTAATTATCTCACGAGTTGGTATTATCTGGGGAACTCGTTCCGCGCGTCATGCCAAAGGACCGACGAAACGGATCGCTGCTCGCACTTCGCATAAAGAAGTGGCTTTACGGGACATGACGATACCTTCGTTGCCGTCGTAAATCAATAAGCCGTGACATCGCGTGTCCGTCGGAATGGACCGTGTCACCGCAAGCGGTAATACGTGTCCGAAAACGCGCGCGCGACCCGTCGAAGCGGACGAGCTACATGACGGGAATACTCGTCGCTGGACCGGGAGGAAAGTCTTCGGCGAGATCAACCGGACGTCCCCGCGCGGACAAATCGAGCGGCTATTGCGGAAAAATCAAAACTCGACTAAACCGTAACTATTTCGTCAGGGACCATTAGCTCGGCTCCCGCTTTCCTCGTTTTCGATTTGAAAAAAATTTCTTACCCAACTCGATGTACCCGATAAGAGCTATCTGCCAAAGCGTCGAGGACGAATCGCTTTTGAGAAAGTTTCGGGCCACTTCTCTGCAATTCATGCAACGAGTTTCGAGTAGACCGCGAACAATTTTCGTCCTGCGATAGAATTTATGCATTCGAATGCATTTTTAATGCCTCGCGTGTGCGAACTTCGGGAGTGGCTTCTTCTCGCCGGGGTGTGGCGGAAGTTGCGGTAGTTCGTCGCCCAGCAGGGCGGCATCGCCTTCCTCTTTCAGAAATTCTAGGAACTAACCTCAATTTTTTCATTTCCGTTCGCAGATATCCCGGCGCGAGGTGGGCGTCTTCCGGTTCCTGGCGGTGGTGCTGCTGTTCGGCGCGGTGGCGGTGAGCCAGGGCAGGGAGTTCTGTCCGAACGGGTGTACCTGCGACGACGACACCCTGGTGGTCTCCTGCGTGGGCGCGAACCTGGACGTGATCCCGATCGCGCTGAACCCCAGCATCCAGCGGATAGTCCTAAAGGAGAACCGGATAAAGAACGTGGACGCGGCGGCGTTCCAGTTCTACGGCGACCTGAGGAACGTGGACCTGTCCAGCAACCACCTGCTGACGATCCCGAACGGGAGCTTCGAGGCGCAGAAGCAGCTAGTGGAGCTGCACCTGAAACACAACAAGATCTCGGCGTTGTCGGAGCGCACCTTCCAGGGTCTGAAGTCCTTGACGGTGCTGATCCTGCGAGACAACTACCTGGAGACGCTGCAGGACGGGCTGTTCGGCTCGCTGACGAAGTTGGAGGAGCTGGACCTGGGGCAGAACCGGATTTCAAAAATCGAGGCGGGCGCCTTCCGGAAGCTGGCCGCCCTGCGGGTGCTGTACCTGGACGACAACCAGCTCCGGGCGGTGCCGTCCCCGGCGCTGGCGCCGCTGACCGCCCTGGCGGAGCTGCACATCGGCTGGAACGCGTTCTCCACGCTGCCGGACGACGCCTTCAAGGGCCTGGAGCGGTTGGCGGTGCTGGACGCGATGGGCGCGGGCCTGAACAACGTGAGCGACGGCGCGTTCCGGGGGCTCGGCGCGCTGCGCACCCTGAAACTGGGAGGCAACAAGCTGAGGGAGGTGCCGACTCGGCAGCTGGCGGTGCTGTCACGGCTGGAGGAGCTCACCCTGGGCCAGAACGCCTTCCCGGTGCTGCGCTCGGGCGCCTTCCAGGGCCTGTCCAACCTAAAGAAGCTCGACGTCTCCGGCGCGAAGCTGCTGACGACCGTGGAGCGCGGCGCCTTCTCCGACAACGCCAACCTAGAGACACTGGTCCTGAACAGCAACAAGCGACTCTCGGTGCTGGAGGACGGGGCGTTGGCGGGGCTGCCGAATCTGCGGCACCTGATGCTGCGGGACAACGCGTTCACCACGTTCTCCGAGTCCCTGGTGGCGTGGGGCGAGCTGCGACGGCTGGACCTGAGCGAGAACCCGGTGGCGTGCGACTGCGGCCTCCTGTGGCTGGCGGAGGTGCTGGCGCCTCGGAACGCCAGCCCGGTGGTGTGCGCGCAGCCGGCGGAGTCGCGGGGCCGCGCCCTGCGCGGCATGAGCGCCGACGAATTGGGCTGCGCCTTCTCCGACCCCCGGAAGCAGGCGCTCCTGGCGACGCTGTGCGCCACCGGCCTGGCCCTCCTGACCGGTCTCGCCCTGGTGCTCTACTACCGCTGCCGGCGGCGCGTGCGCGACGCCCTCAAGGACTACAAGTGGAAGAACCGGGCCATCTCCAGGAAGGAGCACGAGTACCAGAAGACGTTCTCGGACGAGGAGTACATAGTGCGGGCGGCGCACGCGCAGCACCAGCACCAGCAGGCCCAGGTCGCGGCGGGCATTAAGCCGATCCCCGTGACGGAGCTGTAGCTAGAACTTCGGGCGGCGAGCCCCGGGACCGGCGGCGTCTGGTTCCTGCCCCACGGCGGGACCACCCCCGCGGACGGCTTCACCTACATCGACGGGGAGACGGCGCGGCGGATGCGCCGCCCGGGGACGCTGCCCGGCCCCAGGGGGGGCGCCGGCAACGGCGCCGCGCCCTCCAGGGGGCACCACCCCGACCACTCGCTGCGGCGCACCCCTCAGTCCCCCGCGCAGCCCCCNCCCACCACTACCACCACTACCGGGACCGCGCCCGCGACCGCGACGTCCCCAAACCCCCCCCGAGACCCGACAAGCTCCGCGACGCCCTTGACCAGGACCTCCGGGACAACCGGGATCGCAACGGCATCGGCACCTACCGCGCGTAATCCGGGACCCGGGGCCCCGAGGCGCCAGCGCCCCCGGACGTCCTCCGGAACGAGCCTCACCGGGTCCCCGGAGAGTCCCCCAGGAGCCTCGACCGCCGCCCAAGACTGACCGGCTCCCGCTTAGCCGGGAGCTTTTACCCCCTCTGACGGATCGAGTCGAGCCCGATCAGGTCGAGGACTCTTTCGGGGAGCCCCGACCGGCCCCGGAGAACGATGGACGCCCGAGGACCCGCCGATCCTGGCCCGGCCCCCGTCTTCCGGAAGACCGATCGTTGCGTTCCCGACGTCTCGGCGTTGTACCGGAGACTCGAGGTCGAGGCTCCGATCGCGGAGTGAGCGCCGATCGAGCCCGACGGACTCCCTCGAGGGCTTCTTCGGGGACACGGCGCCTCGGAAGAGGCAAACGTCGTCGACGAATCCGCGCGACTCGAGTGGACCTTCGTCGGCGTCCGATGGCGACTTTGTAATAAACGATTTCTGCGCCTGGACGCGTCCTCGTCCGCAACGAGCGGATCCTGGCAAGGACTCGTCCCGAGACCTTCGGGAACGCCCAAGTTCGATAGACCGGATCCCGGATGTCGGCGATTTCCCGATTTTGGGTGCACCTCGAACTTCGAGTTCTCCCGAAAATTGCGAGTTCTCCGGGTTCCGGGGAAAGACGCGACCCTCGCAGAGGACCCCGAGGACTCGGCCTGGGCGGGGTCGGCTCGTCCTGGATGCTGCCTCCAGCCAGCGGCGAGGCCGCCCGTTCATTCTAAATGTTCTAAATTATTTTCGACAAAGACAACCCCAAGACTCCTCGAGACGTCGTCGCGTAGTCGTTAGTTAAGCTAGAGAATTAAACGGCCCCTCGCCGTTTAATCGCCCGAGAGCGAAACGCCGAGGCAAGCGCGAGGCGGTCGTTCCAGCTCGCTCGACTATTCTGGATTAACCTCGTCTAAGGTTTCTCTTAGTATTAAAGGGAGTGACCCTTTCGAGGGCCTCTTCGTGTACAGATTACGCTGATTACGCTCTGTCCCTAGATCGGCGTCTTCGGGCACGCGCTGCCGATTAACGCTATAAACGGCACTATCGATCGGAGTCGGATGAATTTTAAAAAATTCCTCTTTCCTCTAAAATTCTCTAAAATTCTTTCTTAATACCCCGCATCGATCGTCCATCCCGATGAGCAAAATCGATCTCGATCTCCTCGGCCTTGCAAAAAGTGCATTGCCCTTTTCGCGATCCGGATCGCGAGGAAGAGGGAGCGTTATCGCTTCTTAGTCGGAGTGTACGCGTAGGAATTTCTGCGCCATCTTGGCCCCGAAGAGAGAGGTGACTGCACCTTCGATTCAGGGAGAGGAGTTTGCGTCGGGCGCAACGCACGAGTAACGAGTATCGAGTCGAGTCGGGCTTAACGTTTAAATTGGACGCCGTCTTCGAGGTCAGGATCGCCCGCCAATCGAGCCAGAGTCGATCCGAGGAGATGACGGACCCGGGTCGGCCGAACTTTTAACGCGCTACTCGAATAACCGGGCCGGAATGGCCGCGATTCATCAATTACGAATCGCTCGCCCATCGACAGAAGTGCCCGATCGTAATTGAAGGATCGAGGTCCGGATCGATTCCTCGATTCGAGCGGCAGGACCTTGTAGAGCGCCGAGACGCAACCGGCGCCCTGAAAAGTCGGAAAATAAGGCCGAAGAAAATTTCCTAATCTCTTAATTAAGGGGATGTGAAAGTGACATCCGAAGAGTCTATCGTTCATGAGACTTTTCTCCGGACCGAGCGTAACGAATCGTTTCAAGCTTTACAACGTGATCGCGGAGACTATAAGGAAGGTCCTGACCCTCGTGAAATTTCATTTTTTTGTAAGAAATTTCTACAAACTTCTATGAAGAAATTTTTAGAAAATTAGAATCTCATGAGTTTCGGGACCTCCCTTGTACCTTCATTATCCACCAAGGGGTATGAATATTTCGAGTCGAATTTCCGACGTCTGGTTAGAGCGTTTCGAACTCCGCGGGGCGTCATGAATTTTTCAACTCACGCCGGGAAAATCGCGAGGCCGTGTTTTCCAAGAGCCGGAAAATCTCGATACGCCATCGGACACCGATCTTGGGACAGGGAGCCAGGCAAAGGGGAATAGGAAGCGAAGGTGCCGATCTGAATAAACCGAGTCCTTTCTAAGCGAATGTATTCCGGGAAAGTGGCGAAGGACGTCCGGGATTGCGGCGAGGCATTTTCCATCGAGACGCTTCCGGGAGGGAAATCTCCCTTTCGGCGACTCCTGAAAAAGTCGAAACCGCTTCCTCGACGGCCCTCGACCTGGGGAAATCGGCTCGAATGTTTGCACGTCCAGGATAAAAGTTGGGGAAGGTCATGCGCGACCACGATCGGCCTCGAACCGCGGACAGACCCTGTGTTCACCGAAAATCTACGCTTCTTGTACAGCTTACGCCTTTGTTTCCTGTATACTAATATAAGCCTAATTTTAAGGAGCTCGCTGTCAATTTTTTCAGCTTCGGGCGTAATTTGAAGCCGGGAGGCGATTTTTTAAAACCGCTCCTGTACAAATCCGAGGATTCGCTTTTATTTAAGACCAGGACGTCGCGCTTGTAAATATAATTTAGGGCTTGTCCTGCGCCGAGGAAAGTGTTTCCCCGAAATGACAGAAAATGCGTTAAACTTGAAAAATCCATTTCTTCTCAACCACCGAAGGACTTTGCTCGGCGTGGGGACGCGATTTAGCAATAATAGCACGTAATGCGCCGGCGATTACAGAACGTTGTCATTTTTCGAGAGAAGAGTCCGTCGTAAATTCTAACGTTCACCAAGATAAGCCACGATTAGTCGGAAATATTTTTCTCGTATCTGCGAAGCCGTGTCGACGAATTTGCGACGAGCTTTTCGGCTCTTTCCTCAAGCGGATCGATCGTGGTCGGCGAAATAAGTTCTCTCGAAAATATATATAAAAAAAGAGGAGAAAATGCGAGTAGGTGTTCCGGTGGAGGGTCGAACAAAAAAATAGGGGAGGAGGGAAAACTGGAAAAGTATAATCGTATCGTATCATAGCGTATCGTAATGCTAGTCAACCGGAGCCGAAAGGCAGGAAAGGGGTAAATTAATAATTCCGACAACCGAGCGAAAAAAGCGCGAGACACGTTACCGAGGCTTACCCCCGAAATTCGCCATCGTGGAAAAATGAAACGGCATCGGGGAGAAACCGTAATTAGCCATAATTATTTTCTCCCCTACCGTAAACATTGGAATAAATCGGGAAATCAGGATAGCAGCGCCGTGGATGCCCCAGTGCCTGAAATAGGGATTTTCGTTTCGGTCGTTACGTGCCGTCGTAATTTTGATGAAAACGAGACTCTTGAGAAGGAGGAAAGGAATCGCCTAAGTCGCAGTACCTTCGTCTATCTATCGTGCACGATCTAATCTTCTCACTGCCCTCCGGCTCATCGTTCGACGACAAACTCGGCTTCCGGGCCGAGTCTCGTCCAGTCGTCGCAAGCCGGCCTCCATTTCGACTTATCCAATGATAAGCTGGAGCCGTTAATTTTTTACGCTCTCGATTTCCATCTCTCGTGGAAACTCAGACCGAGCTCGTAGAAGACTCGATATCAGTGAACGGAGAAGCTCAGGGGCGATATCGGACTCGTCCCTCTCGACTTTCTCGCGGGGGCCGAGGAGCACTGTAAATTCCTGTAAAGCATAGCAGAGCCTTATCGTGAAAAGCAATATGTACGTCACTAAAAAGCAGCTTGTACTATTTTGAGGGGCGTTAACTTATCCCGCGGGATAATTCGCGATTCGCGCTGTCAAGTAATTCGGCCTTTCGTTGACATTGAACGAGGCGCGCCATCCAAGATGGCCGCCGAAGAGGCCGCTTCGCAGGCCGCGGTAATGTCATCGTTATTAAATCATCGTCAAATCGTCGTTATTAACGTCATCCCGTGTTGCGGTTACTCCCCCAAAATTCCGAGGAAACGAAAGGTCGTCTTCGCCCTCTATGGGGGAGCTTTCCCCCATAGCCGCCGGCCGGGGAGGCGAGGCCTTAATTCGACAAATTCCCCGAAGCGAAGAAGCGACCAAGATGAATCGCCCGTCCCCGCAACTATCCGCGAGCTTCGTCACGGCGGATCCGAAACGAAGTTTCTGGCTCCGGTGCGGCAGCCTTTTTGCGCGAGTCCTCCGGCCGCGACGCCGTCCCTCGAGCCAGGACAAACGATCCTGGAATCGTCCAAGGATCGCTCCTTCTTCTCCCCGGGGACGAGTCCCCCTTCTCGGCGCGCACCTTATTAACACGTAAGAACGAACGGCCGGCGAGACAGCCTTAATAAAATTAATGGCCGGGATATACACCGGCGGTATTTCATCCGTGGACCCCCCTCGCCCGCTTAACTCTCCGGTAACTTTAGAACCCCTTGGACTCTTCCTTTTACCCGGAGATACCGACGCGGAACGGCCGTACGTGCGGCGCCTCGAGGTGGACGAATCGCTCCTACCCCGACTATCGTTCAAGCGGGAATTAACAATTTTCTTTTACCACGGGCATTATTTATGCATCTTTGTTTCCGATCCCTTCATCGGGATTTTCCCGAAAAACGCGACTCCGAAATGATTTTCCATCGCAGTTATGAAAATCATATTTCAGAGAGCATTAACCGAATTTCGGGAAAGTTAACGCCGGGGGATGATTCGCTCTGCATCCCGAAATCTCGTCCGCGAGAGCCGCGAGCGGAGAATATTTTGCAAAAAAAAAAAGAAAGAGGATAAATAAATTATTTCCCATGGCCCGATACTTGGCCGGGAATTAGAGTTCATTTACAGGCGACAGTCATCGGGTATCTTTAATTCCCGACG